CCTTCATCTTCAAAACGCCTGAATAAAATCTGAATAAGAACAGGCCTAGTCGTTCAAGGATGACCTGTCACAGCTGCCCTGGCTGCTCCTAATTTGAGGGACAGGACAAGGCTCTGGCCATGATGATCACAGCCTCTGTCAGCACGTGGGTCTCCTGAGTGAAGAGAAGACCAGAGCCAGGAGGCGGCAGAGGTGAGGAGTGACCACATCAAAACCCATAGCAGACTCAGCTGTGCACAGCGCTGTTCACACTCAGTTCCCACAGCCTCATCCTGCCCCACTGCACACACACAGCACAGTGACCACAGATTCCAGGAGGTTCTCCATGACATCATTTATTTCCTCCACAAAGCTGTATGAAATCACCTCTTTAATTTACTCAACAATTAACACTCAGCTGAAGGATTGGAACCATCAAGTTCACATTCAGTTTCTTATTTTCAGTGGGGAAGTCATGAGCTGCAGCTCAGGGCAGCACGGAGGTGACAGGATGGAGGTGTCCCCTCCTGTTTGCTGAATAAGGAAGGTTGGTTGTGAAATGGAACACAGGGCAGTGTAGTGACAGGGTTCTTGTGTGCAGGGGTGGGATGGGCTCCCCAGTTCTTAACATTAAGCTCCTGAGATCACAGGGAACATGAGACACTGTTGCTGAGAGTGAACTGAGGAGCTCTGGATGTCACAGGACAGCCCTGATGACAGTGTCTGTTACACAGTAAACACCAGGCATCAGTCTTCACGCTACAGAACAAGAGTCGTGAACAATCACTGTGAAGACAGCATCCCAACAACCCATCACTCACTCACACCCAGCTTACCCCATCCCAGGGTGAGGGGCTCAGGCAACCCCTCATGGTGCACACGACATGTGTATCTCTGCTCCTCCCCAGAAGGCACCACCACCACTGCCCACTTCTAGAAGGTTCCATCCCCTGCAGGTCTGGTCGCCACCATCTCCATGTCCTGTCTCTGTGCCTCATCCCTCTTCCAGGTCAGGGTGATGTCAGCAGGGTAGAAACCCATGGCTCAGCACCTCAGGGTGATGTTATCTTCAGGTCTGTGATGATGGGTCACATGTGTCTCTGCTGGTTCTCAGGAGAAGAGTTGGAAAGTTCAGGCATTGTGCATTCTTCATGGGGACTGCAGTAGTGCCAAAGAGACCATCCTGGGAAAGGTCAGAAATGGGGTGATAAAGGCGTGAAAATCCCCAGCAGTATTTCACAGTATCCTGGATAATCCCTTTATTATGAAGTTCTAGAATCTGAGTGAAACACTCTAGGGTAGGAGACTGTAGGTGTCCCAACATGAAAAGGGGACTTCTGCTCCGGACTGGGGAGCGCTTAGTGATTCAGTATCACTGTTTTCAGACTCCCATGACTGAGTGTCTGCAGAACACCAGGTCTGAGAGAGGTCATGGTCCCCAATGGATCACAGAATGATGGAACTGGGCTTGTTTCAAGATCTTCTCACCTTCCCATTAAAAAGGATTCTGAACTGTCCTCAGAGGAGGGTGAGCCCTGGAGAGCCAATCTATACTCAGGAATTCCATATGTGGCTCAGCATTTTGTCAGATACCTTTATACCAGCCCAGGCAGGTGGATCTCTTCATTTTGAGCCCATGCTGGTCTAAATAGGAAATTACAGGGCACCCAGGAGTGCACAGAGAGACACCATCAAAAGCAATACAAAAGAAACAAAGAAAATTCACAAAAGAAATCCAGGAATGCTCTCCCTGTGTCTTGTGGAAGACAGTAGTGATGATGCAGCATTGTATCCAGTGGAGAGAAACAGTGTTTCTTCTACCACCAGGAATGAGCTGAGGATATCAACTCTCTGCTCTATCTGAGACTGTGTTTGAAGACTCAGCTATTACAATCAGATAAGAGAAAGTCATAAAAAAGGAGGAAAACAGGAAATGAAGAATTCAAACTATCCCGATCGCTAGACAAGTTTCTTTTCTTATATGCTTTGATTGAGTGTATTGCAAAACTCTTGGACCTAATCAACACTTATGGTTGCCAGACACAAAATCAATATAAAAAGGTAGCCTTCATTTATGCCAGCAGTATACTTCCAAAAAAAACAAAAAAGAAAAAGAAAAAGAAATTAGGATATGTACAACATTCCAAGTAACTCCAGCAGAATTAATTGTTTAAGGATAAATATATCCAAAAAACGGAAGAACTCTACAATGAAAACTTTAAGATCTGACAGAGGAAATCATAGCAACAATGTCAGAAGATGGTAAGACAATCCAAGCTCCTGGATTGGCATAGTTTACATTGTGACAACGACCATACTACCCTAATGAATCTACAGATTTAATGTAATGCTATCAAAATTCTGATGTATTTCACATTTAGAAAAAAATACAAAAAATCACATGGGATCACAAAAGACCACAAATAGCCAAAAAATCTGAAGGATTAAGAACACTGCTGGAGGTTTTACACTCCTAACCTCAAATTCTACTGCAGAATTATAAAGACAAGACAGCCTGTTTGTATCCAGTGGGCATTTGCTCTGCCCATGACCTTGCGCTATCTGGGGATAGAGGTGCTTTCTCTGTGGTGGTCAGAGATTGGACTGCTGGATCCATTCATCCCCGGGGCAGAACAGAAGACTGAGGCGGCTTGCTACCTTGTTGCGTTTTCGTGAGTGCTTTCTAATAAATCCTAAATAACGCCCTTATACCAGCTATCCTGGATTTGCCTACATTTGGCGCCCACGTGGCATTAGCCTCCAGCCTCCACAGCTGTTGGCAAGCTTCTCATGCCCACTGAGGCCTAAGCTTTCCCATGTGGGATTCCCCGGGATTCCGTCTGACCAGTGCATAGGCTCCACCCCCCTGCCCTGTCGCCTCCTGAGAGCCATTGGGGGCCAGCAGTTAGTTGCAGGCTACAGTGTGAATCCCGTCCCACAACAGGTCCAACTGAGTTTAACCCAACTGCTGGTGCATTCCTGTCCCTCCTCTGTTCCCTGTCAGGAAGGTCTGTGCTCACCTGCCCGCTTTCCTGCCCTGACCCCTGCCTGGCAGAGGCTGCAGGCTACCACAGACTTGGATTTAACTGCTGCTAGGAGGAAACTGCCTGGCCTAGGGCTGAACTGCACCACACCCAGTTCCACAGCCTCTGAGATGCTTCCCCAGGGCTTATTCTGCTAGAGCTTGAGCTGTGGCTGCCAGCCACAGGGTCCCAGGTCAGCATAAGCTGCAAGTTGCTCTTTTTCTTCTAACTCTGTGAGCCCATGTCAGAGAGGATCCAATACCCAAGTATGTAAAACATACTTGGGGAAAATATGATGCTGCAACACTGGGTTTCTACCTCAGGAGATGAACTTCGAGTCTCACCTTTCTTTTCTTTCTTACTTTCCTTTACTTGCTTTTTCTTTGTTTTCTTTCCTTCCTCCTGTTATGGTGGAGGTTCCATCCAAGACCCCTCCCCCATCTCCCTCCAAACTCTGCTGCATCTCAGAAAGCCTGCCAAATGATGGTCCCTACCCCAATGATACTCAAGACCACTCCTACAGGGTATTTAAACTGCCCCCCAGAGAACGGACTCTTGGTTTTTCTGGTCTTCTTTTCCAGTCTCCTCTCTGGGGGGCTGAAGGCCACCCAGAAGCTTTGTATCCATTAAACGTGGGCTTTTCCTAATTGGGTTTGATTTGGTCTGATTTGGAGTGCTGCATGGGCAGAGAGGCTTATCCAGGTGTAGACAATTTTCACCTTCCATTCTTTTTTGAAACAGTGTTTCACTGGGTAACTATGTCTGTCCTGGTACTCAGTACATTAGGCTGACCTCCAGGTCACAGAGATCCACCTGCCTCTCCCTTGTGGGTGCTGGCCTTAAAAGTTTGTGCCATCTTTTACCTTCCACAAAGATGAACTCAAAACAGAGCAACGACCTTGCCTTTTTTTCAAGATATCCATGTTATTGTGTATTGTAAAATGCCCATTGGCTGAACATAATTTATTCATAAGTGACCACTGGAAAAGCAAAAGCAAGATCAGCAAGTTGAAGGTTGAATTTACCTGATAGACAAAAATGCTAATCAGTGTCTAATTATTAAACATGATAGTAAATACAAATAACAGTTTCAGAAGAGTAGATATTATATGTAAGACTGATACAACTATTAATGGTGAATCACATTCTTTTTCTAAAAAAAGGAAAATTTAAATTCTGTCTCATGTCCCAAGGGTTGACTGATATAGGACAGAAGAAAACCAAAATTAAGGGATTATTGCATTGTCAATTATCTCATAATCCTTTGGTTTTATTTTGAAATAAAGTAGCTTCCTGTACTTGTTTTTGCATTTGAGACTGAGGCAAGTAAGCAGGAACTCAGTTTGTGTAACCTGGATTTATTTAACAGACTGTGGTCCTTTCAAGACTGCTGCACATGGCATTTAGAATGCTTAACTTTTCTGCAGTGAACTGTCACCATCCTAGCAGTGACCTTTAAGATCTCCAAGAAGATGATGGGGCCTGGAAGGAAGCAGGAGCTTAGGAGACTGAAGTTCATGTTCTCAGCCCACACTCTCCTGAGTGCAGGGGCCTATTGGGTCCTGATGGGAAAGGATGGAAAAACACATTTTAATACTGCCACTCGGGCACCAAAAGGGATAAGGAGGCAGGCTCCACCCACAGGAAAAACAACAGGTCCATACAAACTAAAAAGTCAACAATAAACAGCAAATATGGGATAAAGAGCTACAGCCAGGTCAGAGCCCAGGCTGACCAGTCACAGGAGCCCTGGCTGCTCACAATTCTGGGGACAGGACAAGTCTCTGGCCATCCCTGTGTCCAGGTGATCATAGATCTCAGCATGTGGTTCTAAATGATGAAGAGAACAGAGCCAGGAGGTGACAGAGCTGAGGAGTGACCATGTCACAACCAACAATGAAATAAATGAGCTCCACCTGGGCACAGCCCTGTTCACACTCTGCAGCCTCATCTTATCACACCAGATGCACACAGCACCATGAACACAGACTCTGGGAGGTTCACCATGCTTCCATTTATTTCCTCCACAAATTCTTAGTGTCTCAATAATTTATTTAACAGACAACCTGTCAGATCAAGGAACAATCAAGTTCAAATTGAGGTCTTTATTCTCAGTGGGGATTTGAAGGGCTGAAGCTCAGGGCAGGATGGAGCTGTCCCCTCCTGTCTGCTGGAACAGGAAGGTTGGCTGTGCAAGGAAACACAGGCAGTGCAGGGACTGGGTTCTTCCTCAGTTCTTCAAATTGAGCTCATAGGATCAGAGGGAACATCAGACACTGTTGCTGAGAGTGAAATGAGGGGCCCTGGATGTCACAGGAGACACCCGAACACCAGACAGCTGTCTTCATTCTACAAACAAGAGTCATGAACAATCACTGTGAAGGCAACATCCCAACAACCCACCACTCACTCACAGGTGGGTCTGGGAGTCACTAAAACCTAATCATGTCCACTTTGTCCCACCCCAAATCAGGTCCCAGAGTGTCACCTTTACTGTCTGGGAGAGACATATCAGAGCTCTGGGAACTGTCCCTGCCTAATGTAATATATATAGTAATATAGTAATATAAATATATGAAGGTAAAAACAGGGCCCCAAGAAGATTTTTCTGGAGGAACTCCTATGGATTTGCCAGAGCCCCTTGAAATACTACAGCTTCACCCCATAGGCTTCAGGGACAATCCTGCTCTCCTCACTTACCTGGAGCTGGAGCATACTTTCCTCTTTTTTCACCTGTGAGAAGAAAACCTGTGAGAGACCAGGGATGAGCCTGATCCTAGTAATTTCCTGGAACTGACAGCAAATCCATGTTAGAGCCAGGAGCAATGGGGAGGAGGGTGTGATGTGTTTCCATGAGGCAGAGCACACTTCTAAAGGGGCTGAGAGAGAACTCAGACCCTGCCCTTTCCTACCTGTGTTTCTCCTCCTCTTCCTCACAACCACCACAGCTGTAATGATGGTCACAACTCCAAGGAGAACCAGAACAGCAATGACTGCCATGATGGGGACAGTGGACTGAGGAGGCTCTGGGAAGGGAAGGACAGGAAGGGAAGGTGAGAGTCATGACCTCAGCTCTCAGCCCTGACCCTGCTCAGGCTCTGCAGAAGGCTCCAGCTTTCCCTGACCCCAGCTCTGCACCCCTCCCTCCTTACCCCATCTCAGGGTGAGGGGCTCAGGCAGCCCCTCATGGCGCACATGGCATGTGTATTTCTGCTCCTCCCCAGAAGGCACCACCACTGCTGCCCACTTCTGGAAGGTTCCATCCCCAGAAGGTCTGGTCTCCACCAGCTCCATGTCCTGAGTCTGTTCTTCCTTCTCCCTTTGCCAGGTCAGGGTGATGTCAGCAGGGTAGAAGCCCATGGCCCAGCACCTCAGGGTGACATCACCTTTAGATCCAGGATGATGGGTCACATGTGCCTTTGGGGGATCTGTGTGGAAGGTTTAAGAAATCCCACAAGAACAAGATAAACTGAAATCTGCAAAGACAAAGTTAAATCAATGATGACACTGAACTGTGTGTCTGAACACTTCTGATTGTCATCACACTAGTGACCTGCAGGGGCCGCTGGTCCCCTCATCACTGATCTGTACATTTTCCTGGGGGGACCTGGAAGCTAAAAAGGAATCACATGAACCAGCAGGTCACATGGTCTTCCTTATGTGAGGTTCTATAGCATAAGTTAGGTGGTAAAAGAATGGAAGAAGGGATGGAAAATAATTTATATATGTGATTAAATTTATGTCAAAATAAGTGGGATAGGGTACATAATGGGTGCTCTCAACTAATGCAGCCACCATTGAGGCACAACCACTGTGGCCATCTTGCTGACCAGCATAACTGTCTGTCCAA